GGAAAGCTCTGTAGCAGAAGCATCTGTTGACACCTGGGATAGGACAGTGGCTGAGCTAGACCCCTGGGAAGTGCTGGTCTCTCTGACTTCAGGAATAAGAGGGAAAGATGGCTTTGTCTCAGTCCTTGTGGTCTCAGAAGATGCAGGTACTGATGTGGAAACCGTGAAGTCCACCATGCTGGAGGTGGCACCCCCTGGAGATGTGACGCTGGGTGACTCAGAGTGGGCATGTTCAGAACTGATGGCACTCATGACGTCTGTTGTTTCTGTGGAAGGGTGAATTGCCTCTGTGTCTATGGTGGCTTCAGAGGTGGTCAATGTACCATCTGAGGTGCTGCTCATTTCTGGAGGTGGTCTGCTACCAAGTCCCAAGCTTGTTTTCAATTTGGTTGTCGTCTTCTCTGGGCCAGGCATAACAGGTGACGTCCCAAGTAGAGGGGAGGAGAGACTGACCCCTTGTAACACGGAGGACCCTGAGAAAGGTGAGATGTTCTCTGTAGTAGGTGCCATGGAAGAGAGAGAGCTGACTTCTTCCACAGAAGGAGTGCTTGACATCTCCTTAGGATTTCCGCTCATAAAAGCTGTCATTTCTGAATGTGGAAAACCCTGAGTCAAAACGGAGGGAGTTCCTGACCAGGAAGCTGTGGTTGATGTGCCCAGAGTAAGAATACCTCTTTCAGTCGTGAGAGTGATTCTCTCAGCATCTTTCATGAGAGGGGAGGTGGACGGATTGATGCTGGTTTCTGTCAACACATCAGTAGAACCTATGGTCTGATCAGCGTCGGCGTGGGTTAGTCTGTCTGAGGATGTGACTTCTGCTCTGGAGAGCCCGGCTGTGGCAGTTCCTCTGGACACATGAGATAGCACAGGCTTTGTCTCTGGGGCAGAGTAAGGAACCTGGGCGGTGGTAGACGCTCCTGCAGTCACAGAGGGCGTTAACTCACTCTCACTCTTTGCATTCTCAGAGAAGACAGGGGTTAATTCAGAGACAGTGGTGTCCCTTATGTTGGAGGTGGTAATTGGTGGAGATGTGGCCCTAGTTGGCCTCGAGGAGGGATCTTGTGTCTCTTTCATAGAGACTGTGGACTGTGTGCTGAAGGTAGTTGTATCTAGTGATGTGGGCTCAGTAGAAACACTCTCTGGGGTGAATGTTCTGTATGCTGCTGGCTCAGTTTCAGGAAGGGACATTGCGGATGTACTATGGACTTCTGAAGAGACTCCTGGAGACCATGTGGACCTGGTGGAATGTGGGATTTGTGCTTTATCAGGCCATGGAATGCCTGTCTTGGAGAGGTCAGTAGTAGAAGCATCTGTTGACACATGAGCTAGAATAGAGGATGTTTCTCTGAGTGAGCTTGTTTGTTGGGAGGTGCCGGGCTCTCTCATGACAGAAGTAACTGAGGATGATGGCTCTGTCTCATTCCTTGTGGTCTCAGAAGAGGCTGATGTGGAAACTGTGAGGTCTACAAGGCCGGAGGTGGCAACCCCTGGAGAGGTGATGTCATATGGTTCTGACTGGTCTGGAACAAAGGAAAGTGCTACCGGTTCAGAACTGGTGGCACTCATAAAGTCTGTTGTTTCTGTGGAAGGGTGAGTTGCCTCTGTGTCTATGGTGGCAACAGTGGGGCTCAATGTGTAATCTGAGGTGCTGCTCACATCTGGAAGTGGGCTGGTGTCAGGTCCCAAGCTTGTCTCCAAATTGGCTGTAGTCTTCTCTGAGCTAGAGGTGACAACTGAGGTCTCCAGGAGAGGAGAGGAGACACTGCCCCCTTGTAACATGGAAGACACAGAGGAAAATGAGGATTTGGCAGCAGTAGGTGCCATGGAAGAGAGAGGGCTGGCTTCTTCCACAGAAGGAGAGCTTAACACATTATTTGGATCTGTGCTCATATGAGCAGTCATCTCTGAGTGTGGAAAACTCTGAGTCAAAACCGAGGGAGTCTCTGCCCTTGAGGCTGTGCTTGATGTGTCTGAAGTACGCGTACCTCTTTGAGTGGTGAGAGTCATGCCTTCTGAGTCTTTCATGAGAGGGGCGGTTGATGGACTGACGTTGCTTTCTGTCAGTGTATTTGAAGACTCTTTTGATGGATTTGGAGTTGGGTGGGACATCCTATCCAACGATATGTCTTCTGTAGCAGCTGTGACAGGACCAGTGGATGAATGAGATAGGACAGATTTTGTCTCTGTGACAGAGTAGGGTACCTGCGGAGTACTGGACCCTCTCAATCCAGTGGTCAGGGAGGATGGCAACTCACTCTCATTCTTTGTGGTCTCAGAGAAAACAGGACGTAATGCAGACACAGTGGTGTCCCCTATGCTGGAAGTGGTAACCAGTAGAGATGTGGCCCTAGTTGGCCTTGACGAGGAAACTTGTGTCTCTTCCATAGAGAATGTGGATAATGTGCCCAAGGTAGTTGTAGCCAGTGTGCTGGCCTCAGTCGAAACATTCTCTGTGGTGAAAGTCACGTGATCACCTGATTCAGTTTCAGTAATGGCTATTGCGGATGTCCTACTGGTTTCTGAAGGGATTCCTGGAGACCACGTTGACAGAGTAGAACCTGGGATGGGGGTTCGATCAGGGACTGCAATGTCTTTCTTGGATGGCTCAGTGACAGAAGTATCTGTTGACACAGGGGCTAGATTAGTGTATGTTTCCGTGGTTGAACTGGCCCTTGGTGAAGTGCTGTTCTTTCTCCTTTCAGTCATGAGGGAGGAAGATGACTTTGTATCATTCTTGGTTGTCTCTGAAGGTGCAGGTGCTGATGTGGAAACAGCTAGGTCTGCCATGCTGGAGGTGGCAACCCCGGAAGATGTGATGTCCTTTGGCTCTGATTGGTCTGTGACAGAAAAGAGTGACATGTGTTCAGAACTCGTGGTTTTCATAGCCTCTGTTGTTTCTGAGGAAGGGTGAATTGCCTCTGAGTCTATGGTGACTTCAGAGGTGACCGTTGTCTCCTCTGGGGTGCTGCTTATGTCTGGAGGTGGCCTGCTGCCAGATCCGAAGCTTTTGTCTAGATTGGCTGTAGTGTTGTTTTCTGGCTTAGCGGTGGGAATTGAAGTCCCAAGGAAAGAAGAAGAGGGATTGTCCTCTTGTAACATGGAGGACACTGAAGAAAGTGAAGTTTGAACGGTAGTCGGTGCCATGGAAGAGAGAGTGCTGCCTTCTTCCACAGAGGGAGAGCTTGATATATTCGGAGGCCCGGTGCTCACAGGAGTAGTCATGTCTGAATGTGGAAAACCCTGAGTCAAAACGGGTGGGATACCTGCCCAGGAATTTGTGGTTGCCGTGCCTCGGGTAAATGCATCCTGTGACGTAACCCTTGGAGGACCTGCTGTGATGTTGAAGGGCATCCCTGAAGACCCGGTCCTGAGAGGGGATGTGGGACGATTGGGATTGCTTTCTGTAGCTTCTTGAGGAGACTTTTGGAAGTGGGTAGTTCCTGGCATGGATGTTCCTCCAGAGGAGATGGCTTCCATGCCGGGGTCCTCACGAGCAGCCCCGGTGGAAGCATAGAAAGAGCCAGTATGCGCATCTGTAACTAAACTAGACTCCCGTGATGTTATGGTCTGCTTCTGTCCATGGGTCAGGGAGGAAGTTGATTCTGCCTGAGTCTCTCCCCTGATCTCAGTGTAGGCAGGCAACGATGTGGAAACACTGACTTCAACCTTGCTTGAGAGTGTAGCTGCAGAAGATATTACCCTGGATGTCACTGTAGGGGCCAGGACCGTGGATTGCACTTTATGTCCAGTATGAGTAGTCCCCACAGCTGTGTTGATGGAAGGATTGACTGCCTCCACATTCTTGGTGGCTTCAGAAATAGTCAATGTGTCATCCGAGGTGCTTCTAAGATGTGGAGATGAGCTGGTGCCAAATGCTAGGGTTGTATCCAATATATTTGTGTTCCTTAAAGGAATAGAGGTGAAACTTGAGATCCCATGAAGAGAAGAGGAGGTATTTTCCCCTTGTGAGATGGAAGAAACAGAGGTAGAGGAGCTCATGGCAAGAGTAGGCACCAGAGAATTGACTGAGTCAGTGTCTTTGATAGGGGATGTGTTCATCCTGGACACATCCACAGGTTCTTTGCTACTGAGAGTGATCACATCTGAGGGGTGTAAACCCTGAGTCACAGTTGAAGGTGTTCCTACTAAGGAGGCTGTGGTTGATGAATTCCAAGTAACTGAACCTTGTAATGTAGCCCCAGGGACATCTGTTTGAGTGGTGAAGTCCGTTGCCACAGATTCTGCCATCCGAGGCAAAGTAGAGGAGATGGTATGGCTCTCTGGAATCAATGTTGTTAGACCTTTGGATTCAGCAGGGCTTGGGCTGGATAGTCTCTCAGTGGATTTGATTTCTATCCTGGGGACCTCAATTGTAGCAGCAGTTGTGGACACTTGGAGAAGAACAGGTGTTCTCTCTGTACTTGTGACAGTCACTTGGGTAGTAGTGTACTCACTCAATCCATCAGTCAGGGAGGAATCTGACTTGCTGCCAATCCTTGTAGTCGGAGAGGATGCAGACATTGATGCAGAGACAGTGTTTTCCACCATTTTGGAAGCAGTAACTATTGGAAACATGGCCCTGGATGTTTCCATGGGAGCCAGGACAGAGGCAGGTGATACATGTCCAGAATTGGTTGTTCTGACAGTTGCCACTATGTTTGTGGAAGGATGGGTTGTCTCTGTGCCAATGGTGACTTCTGAACTGGCCAGTACCTCACTTGAGGTGCTGCTCATATGTAAAGGTAAACTGGTGCCAACTTCCCACTTTTCCTCCAAGTTATCTGTAGTCTTCTTTGGGGCAGAGGTGAGGATTGAGGTGATAGGAAGTGTAGAGGAGACACTCTGCCCTTGAAATTTGGATGAAACAGCAGAGGGTGAGGATGTGGCAGAGATGGGTGCCAAGGAAGAGAGCGAGTTGACATCTGCCTCAGAAGGAGGAGTTGATTCTTCCCCAGGACGTCTGCTCATGAGAGTCATTGTCTCTGACTGTGGAAAACCTTGAGTCAAATCCAAGGAAGTCCCTTCCCAAAAGGCTGTGGATGGCATGTGTAAGGTCAGCGCATCCTGTGATGTAGGCCCAGAGGCACTTCTTCTGGAAGTTAAACTCCTTCCTTCAGAAGTTGTCATGAGAGGGGAGTCTGGAGGACTGGTGGAGCTCTCTGTTGTTATATCAGTTGGGCCTTTGGACTGATCTGGGTCTGGGCTGGTCATTCTGTCGGAGGATGGTTCTTCTGTCCTGGAGAACTCAGTAGCATCAATGGATGCTTGGGAAGGGAGCGAACTTACATCAGTGGCTAAGACATTCATCTGGGAAGTGCTGTAATTGGTCAATCCAGGGGTCAAGGAGGAAGTTGACTCACTGTCGATCCTTGTGATTTCAGGAAGTTCAGGCATTAAGGTGGAATCTGTAGAGGTAACCAGTGAGGAAGTGCCCCCAGGTGTCTTTGAGGAGGCAAGCTGGGTGCCTTTCAAGGATACTGTGGGTAACGTGTCCAAGTTAAGTGCATCTAGTGATTCAGTAGGCTCAGGAGAAAGAGCTTGTATGGGGAGAGTCCTTTGTGCAGACCCTGTCATGGGATGGGGGATGGTGGCTCTACTGCTGGTTCCTGAGATTCTCCAGGACCATGTTGACTGAGTAGAACCTAAGATGGGAGTTCTCCCAGAGTCTGGAATCTCTGTCTTGGAGAGCCCAGTAGCAGTGGTACTGGTAGACACCTCGGAAAGAACAGTGGGTCTCTCCCTGTCTGAGGTGGTCCCTTGTAATGTACTGGGATCCTTCATTATAGTAGTAAGGGAGGAAGATGACGCTGTCTCCATTTTTGTGGCATCAGAGGATGTAGGTGGTGCAGAAGATGTAGGTGTTGCTGTGAAAGAAGTGATGCTTACCTTGCTGGAAACAATAGCCTCTGGGGATGTGACCTTAGATAACTGTGACTGGCTCAAGACAGAGTGTGATGTGGGTCCAGGACTAGTAGCTGCCACATTGGTCACTGTGTTTGTGGAAGAGTGAGTTGACTCTCTATTTGTGATCATTTGAGAAGTGACTAATATCTCACTTGAGGTGATGCTCAGATTTGGAAGTGAGCTACCAGTGCTGGATTTGAAGCTTGTGCCCAACATGTCTGTGCTCTTCAACAGACCAGAAGTGATGAGTGGAGTCACAGGGCTAGGAGAGGAGAGACTGTACCCTTGTAATGTGGACAGTCCAGGGGGAGGCGAGGTTGTGGCAGGGAAAGAAAACAGAGAAGAAGAGCTGGTTTCTTTTGAAGAAAGAGGGCTTATCCTTGATACATCTTCAGAACTTGTGCTCATGGGATTGGTCATCTCTGAGGGTGGAAAACCCTGAGTCACAACCGATGACAGCCTTGCCCAGGAGGCCATAGCTGATGTGTCCTGGGTAAGTGCACCCTTTGATGTAACCCCAGAAGAATCTGCTTGGGTGGTGAAGGGTATTTCTGAAGATTCTGTCCTGAGAGCGGTGGTGCCACTCTGTATAGATGTGTTGGGAAAAGATTTCAAGCGAGTAGGGTCTGTGATGGATATCTTGCTAGAGGATATGAATTCCTTCCAAGAGACTGCAGTGGTAGCAGCTTCAGTCGACACATGGGAAAGAACTGTACCTGCTTCTGTGACTGAGGTGGTCATCTGAGAGATGCCCATATTCTGCCATCCAGGAGTTTGGTTGGGGATTGTGTCTGTCTCTAGCCTATTGGTTTCAGAGGAGGCAGATGGTGATGTGGAAATTTTGGTAAGGGCAGTGTTAATTGGATTTATAGTCTCAGAAGGCCTTGAAAAGGACAACTGGGTTCCTTCCCATGAGCCTGGGGTTGATGTGTCCAAAGTAAGTGTACTCAGAGATATAGCCTCAGGAGAACCTCTCTGTGTAGGGAAGGTCATGTGTGTAGATTCTGACATAGGAGGGAAGAGAGAGGGTCTATTGGTAGCTCCTGAAGAAATACCCGTAGACCTTGTTAAGTCATTGAACGTGCTATCAGAGGAGGGAAACGTTGTCCTGGAGGGCTCAGTGGTCATAGTATCCCTGAGCATATTGGGAAGGACTGTGGCTTTCTCTTTTGTGACACTGGTTTCCTGGGAGGTGATGGTGTCCTTCAAGTTAGAGGTCAACGAAGAAGTTGGCTCAATTCTGGTGGAATCAAAAGAGGGAGGCATTGATGTGGGAAAAGTGGCATCTCCCAATGCAGAAGTGATAACTACTAGGGATGTGACCCCAAAGGCCTCTGAATGGGCCAGGGCAGAAGAATGTGATTTGTGTCCAGGACTGGCAGCGCCCACTGTGGTCACTGATATCTTTGTGGAAGGGAGAATCACTTCTGTATCCGTGGTGTCTTCAGAAGTGGCTGATATCTCGCTTGAGGTGCTATCCAGATTTGCGGATGTACTGGTATCAGTTTCTGAGCTCATTCGCAGCATATCGGTCATCTCCACCAAACTTGAGGTCTGACTTGAGGTCACAAGAAAAGTAACGGGGGAGCTGTGCTCTTGCAACGTAGATGACGCTAGGGAAGGTGAGGTTGTAGAAGGGATAGGTGCCAGGGAAGAGAGAGAACTGGTTTCTCCCACAGAAGAGCTCATCCTTGGCACATCCTTGGAATCTGTGTTCAAAAGGGTGGTCATCTTGGAGTGTGGGAAACTCTGAGTCCCTGCCCCAAAAGCTGTGGTTGGTGAGTCCAGTGGCAGGGTGCCTTGTGAGGTAGTCCCAGGGCCACTCACTTGGGTGGTAAAGGTCATTCCTGCTGATTCAGTCCTGAGGAGTGAGGCGGAAGAGCTGGCAATGCTCTTTGTAGCTGTAGCATGAGTAGTTGGAAAGTGAGCAGGGCTTGGCATGAATGTCTTGCTAGAGGGCGCTAATTCTGTCCAAGAATTCTCCATAGTAGCAGCACCAGTGGATGCATGGGAAAGGAGACTTTCTATCACTGTGGATGAGCTGGTCACCTGGGAAGGGCTGGTCTCCCTAAGTCCGTGGGTCAAATAGGCATTTGCCTTTGTCTCTGTCTCTTGTCTTTTATTCTCAGAGAAGGCAGAGGTTGATGTGGAAATTGTGGTATCCCCTGCGCTGGAACTGATACCCATTGGAGCTGTGGTCCCAGATGACTCAGAGAAGGGCAGTCGGGTCCCTTCCCACAAGCCTGTGGTTGATGTGTCCAAAGTAGGTGTACTAAGTGATGTAGCCCTGGAAGAAGCTTTCTGGTTGGTGAAAAGTGTTCGTGTAGATCCTGTTTGGAGAGGAGAGGACGCAGGGGTGGTGCTCATTCCTGTGAGGACATCTAATGAGCTTGTGGACTGAGACAGACCTGGGCTGGGTATGATATCAGAGGCGGTGACTGCACGCCTGGATCCCTCAGTGACAGCAGTGGAACCTGGGGGGAAGACAGCGCTTGTTTCTGTGATTGAGCTGGCATTTCTGTACATCTTGGACTTGATCGTTGTGGTGGTTACGGAGGGGTCAGTCTCTGTTCCAGTCTGTGAAGACTCTGGAAAGAGAGGTGTTAATGTGTAGCCAATGGTATCTCCCAGGGTGGAGGAAGTAACCATTGGCGATGTGGCGGTGAGTGGCTCTGAGCGGTCCAGGGTGGTGGAATGCAGTTTCTGTCTAGAACCTGGGGTCCACACGCTCATCTCCACTGTGTTTATGGAAGCGGGAACAGCTTCTTTGTCTGTAGTGAGCGCAGACGGAGCGCTTCTCTCTGAGGTGCTGGTGTTCAAAGTTGGGAATCGACTTGTCACGGATTCCAAACCGGTGTTCAGCATATCCGTGGTCTTCAATAAGTCGGAGGAGCCAGTAGCCATCTTGATTGTTCCTCCCAAGGAAGAAGAGACGCTTTGCACGTGAGTGTTCAGAGATGGGTTCGAGGTGGTTTCTTCCCCAGCCCAGGAGTCCGAGGTCCCTGTCGCCTCTGTTGTAGGCGTACCCACCCCATGTGCTTGGGGAGTTGGATCGGGAGTTCTTTTTGCAGGTGGGATCATGCTCAGAATGGTGACTGTCTGGGATGCATGCCACGGAGTTGCAGAAGTTGTGGTGGGGAAAGGTGGAGGACTCTGTTCTGTCTCTCTGAGGCTTTGACTCCCCCAGGGAGTAATCGCATTGCTACTGATGATTGCATCGGGTGTGGCCACACTTGGAATACTTCCTACAGAGGAAAGCAGCTGAGTGGTGGTGACTGGGCTGATGGCAGTCTCTAAATAGAGTTCTTGGGAAGTTGTGCTTCCCTGAGGAGCGGAGGTAGTGATTGTGACTGGGGGTCTAGATCCCTCCACGGTCCAGTCCACCGTGGACAGAGGATCAGGCAAAGGAGTAAGCAGAGGGTTACTTGGGCCAATCGTTCTAACAGGGTCGTCCACAGAAGGCAAGGCTTCTGTTTCTGTTGCCCTGGGAGATGACCAACTTGTGCTTGAAACGTCAGGAACTAAGGTGCTTAGCCCCTGACCACCAGAAGAAGCAGAGACAGGAATAGAGGTGGTTGTATCCAAAGAAATCAATGCTCTGAAACTCGGGTGTGTCGTTTCAGATGAAGCAAAGGAGGATGGGGTGGTCAACCTGATTTCAGCGACAGTCCCAGGGCTGTGAGAAGTAGACAAAGAGCCTGATACAATGGTGGATGCTGAGAATGAAGGTTTCCCTGCTGCAGAAATTGCCTCAGGAGAAGATATGGCTTCCAGCCTTGCAGGGATAGTCCAGGGCCCTGATGAGGCAGAAGCAGCTGTGGAGGGCCAATGGAGAGAGTGCTTTCGCGAAGCTGTGCTGGTTTCTGCCGCCAGGATGTGATCGGTAGCACTCACACTGCCCTCTGAGCTGGGCATGATAGTCCAACCAGAGCTTGTTCTCATGGTGGTGGGGCTACCTGGAGTCGGGGCTGCAGTCGGGCTCCCTGTGCTCATTCCTACAGATGAGGTCTGTGATAGGTGCCCAGGTACAGAGGCACGGCCACGAGTTGCTACACTTGTGGTGGTCACCCGAGTCTTAAGGTCCATGGAGGAGGTTGTCATAGATGGGGAAGGCCGTATTTTTTCTTCTGAAGCATGAGAAGGGTGGACGATGGATTGGTCTTTAGTGCTCAGAGATACTGGTGAAGCGGATTGAGCTCCTGAGTTGGAATTGATGGACACGGTATCTGTGGCCAGAGGGAATGCACTAAGAGTCTGTGCGCGTTCAGTTGTCTGCTGGGAAGCGGGGCTAGCCGATGCTACACTTATCTGCTGTTCAGGTGTCTTTTTACTCAGGCCACTGGAAGGATGGAGTGTGGTGCTGACCCATGTCCTGGCGCTAAGTTTAGCTCTGTCTGTTACTGAGGTCATGGTTTCTCTCTGGATACTTGCAGAATCTGGTGTGACCACAGAGTCTTCTCGAGCAGTGGGAGATGTGCTCCCAGGAACATTTGTTTCCACTGTGGTCCCCCTAGTGGGCCCAGGCCGCTTTGGAGACTGAGATGGGCTACTTGGCTTCTCAGTCCCTGTAGTGTGTCCAGGAGTTGATTTTGGGGGGATCAAAGACACTGTCCCCAATGACTGGCTGGTGTCTTTTGGTGTGCCAGAAGAGGGCCTGACCCAAGTCTCAGATGGGGAAACGGAGAGTGAAGCCCTTTCCGTAGTCGTCATTTCTTCAGTTGGGAATTTGTCTGAGGCGTTGACTCTGGTGGGTAGGGGAGTAAGCTCAATGCTGCTACTTCTTATGCCTGAGAACTGAAAGGTGGTCTCTGTGGAACCAGTTGAAGTTGGAGTTTCCCACGTAGAACGTCTCCCAGTTGAACTGGTCTCGAGGCTTTTGCTTTTGAGAGCTGTCGTCATCTCTGCACTTCCTGTGGATGGGCCTGTGACCGACCAGAAAGCAAGTTGATGGAAGATATGCAAATGAGCCAGAAGGGAAGTCCTTCTGGTTCCTAACCTTATTTATTCCCTCAAGAGTTTTCTATTCAAACTACTCTCTCTTTTTAAGGGGTTGGGTGGGTATAGGCTAACTTTTCTGTATGCACAGTTCCATGATAGGGAACATGAGAACATATTGACCATCAATATGTTTATAGCGAAATGAGAGCTTTGAGCCATTTGGCTTGCCCAGCAGAAATGGCCACCTCCAGCTCAGATTTTTTTCCATTTCTTAAAGAGAAATGCGCAATAATTTAAGGACTTGGCTTCTCACTAGAAGGTTGGAACTGAGGAGTGCCTTCTGCTCTGGCACACACAGGGTCTCGGTAAGTTGGAACCGATTTGATGGCAACCTGGGTTTGGGATTGGACAACAAAATATGCGATGGGCCAAACAAAGATCTCTATCCATGTAAGAAGTTGTGCCAACCTTCTTTGCACTTTGATCCTCTTAGCTTCTGGCCCTCAATGAATAGCTTTCAATTTCTAATCTCCTTTAGGAACCCCCAACTCTGAGGACCCTGCAAAGCACCTTAAGGATTTACATTTGAGAGGGAAGGGTGCAGGGTAGATGAGAACATCATCCTTTCTCTTTACTTTCATCATCTTTCAAAGCCATCCCCTTCTCAGAGTCTTCTTTCTATCCTCCATGAAAAGAATATTAGACGACCACAGGGGTGAGGGCAGCTGGCCTCTCCAAGGACACTCTTTCTGAAGACCATATTCCCCTAAACAATCTGACTCTCTCAACAATGCTTCATGACCTATAACTATACAGCCAACGAATATGGGCCCTTTATCTTCTGTGTCATCTTATGCATGCCATCTCCAGAACACACGTGGTCCCTGGTTTAGAAAAATCCTTCACGCTAGGATAATGGGAGTTACGCATATAACTGTTCCCTTGGGGTTTACTCCAACTGAGTTGGTGCACTATCCATCAAATAAATCAGGAATCCTGGTGGCACATTGGGTTACATGTTGGGATAAAAGCCACAAGGTCGGTGAGTTCAAAACCACCAGTTTCTTCTCAGGATTAATGTGAGGCTTTCTAATCTCATAAAGTGTTATAGTTTCAGAAACCCACAGGAGTAATTCTGTCTTGTCTTTTAGGGTTGCTGTGAATCAGAATTGACTCAATGGCAGTGAGGTGTTTTGTTTTTCTTTTTTCTTTTTAATCAAGTAAATTAGCAATAGACTCATATGACCAATTAACCCCCTAGGAGTGGGGAACAATTATCAACATCTTCAGAGTACAGCAGCAAGAGCCAAAGAACTCCATTACAACTCTGGTCATTTATTTCCTTAAACCGTCTGTTTTGACTCCAGACATAAGGAGAAAGTACCCAAAGAGAAAGTCTTTTAGTGAAATGCAGACGATGTCCATACGAAGCTGGACTGATCACAGTCTTAAGAGACAGGGGCTCATGAGCAGATCAAGTGGTGCTTTCTTGCACGTCTTGACTTGGCTCCTTGGTAGTGACTGCTATGGATTCACCTGCCTCGGAATGAGGAGGTGATGGAAAGGTCAGTCTTGCATTCTCTCTGACGACATGGAAATGTCCTCATCTATCTCTGAGAAGGAATTTAAAGAATAGCTACCCCCTTTCAAAGAATAACTGCCTTTTTCAAGAGTGGTGAAGACTTTTTGTTTATTGAAGTAAATATCTGTGTGTGCACGCACACACACAATTTTGTTATATATACATGTAACAAATGATTTACCAACTCAATAAGCAGAACTGATCTCTGTCCTAAACACCTCAGTAGCAGGAGCACTAGACACTTGGGGAAGGACCAAGCTTATATCTATGGTTGAGCTGCTGTACTGTGAGACAATAACTGCCTTCAATCCAGTGCTCTGCATGCAAATAGATTCTTCCCCAGGACTTTCAGCTGAAGAAGATGCATGCTGGTAGTTGGTACTCTCCACAGCTGAGGCAATAACCATTTCAGAAAAGGCCTTGTATGACTCTTGATTGGATAGGGGCAGGGGTATTCGGCACAGGGCTAAGACTAGTGGCCCACAGAGTGGTCAGTGATGCCTCTGTGGAAGGAAGACTCGACTTTGGGTTGGTGGTGACCTTCAGAGTGGCCATTCTCTCACCAGAGGAGTGAATAAACATTGGATGTGTTGTGGCCCAAGCTCCAAAATATGAGTCCATGAGAGCTGTGGTCTTCACTGGATGAAAGATGTGAGGGAATTTAGTGGTGATCTTGAGTGAAATAGCAGAAGCCCTCATCCTCTCGGTGGTCAATGGCATTGTAGAAGTTGTATATACCTCACTTCTAGAAATAGATGAATCTGTCCTATCTGTCCCTGGGCACCTGAACTCAGGGTTCCCACTGTAAACATGGACTGCCCAGGTCACTGTGGACTTCTGTCCTGAAGTTGAATAAGTTGTGGTGGAAATCAGATGGAATTCTCTGCCTCTATTTCTGAGTAAAGGTGTCCTTGTGGCAGTCACATCAGAGTTGCTGACCATCTGAGGAAATGAAATCCCATCTGCCATGGCCATTGAAGGATATGGTGATGCCCTAACCCAAACCCTATTCCTAACCCTAACTGTAACCCTAATAGAATTGTCCTGAGACTTAACCTATTATAATTACTGAACAGCCAGATTATCTATTAGCCAGGTAGAGGGTGAACTCAACTGTCATAAGAGTGGGGAGGAAACTACATCAGTCTATGTGCTTAAGTTACACAGAAGTGGTACAGACCTTTAGTGCTATTCTTTCAGGGCCTTTGGGTATTTGTTTTTATCTGAAATCTCAGGAACTGAAGTGTTTACCACATGATAATCATAGGATGTCATGGCAACAGATACAATTGTGTCTCTTGGACTTGACGTTCTCACCCTTGTGCGGACCTCAGTGACTTGAACTGAGTAAAAAGGAAGGTAGCTTGGCCATATTAATTCTAGTCAACATGATAGGGTGATGGGTAGAGCCTGTTTCAATGATTGTTGCCAAGGAAAAATGTGTCTTTTCTATACAAATGACACTGAGTGAAACAGTGACACGTGAAGGGGTTGCTGTGTCTATAACGGTCCACTTTGCAATGAAGATGGAGAAGTATTTCCAGTCCTTATTACCTGGCTATTGCCTGAAGTCCTGGAGTCACCCACTAAGCCAGATATTATAGTTGGAAGTGTAGTTGTTCCTGTGAGATTGGAGTGGGGGCTCTGTCATTGCTTATTGGGCTTAGAGGATATAATGTCACACACTTGGTCACAAGTGGAGAGGCAGCATCTATGGTTTCCCAACCTGTGATAGGTTCAGATTTGGGCCTCACTAAAGAGGAGGTAGCAGATATAGAAGATGCCGCTTTCTGCCACACTGGTGAGGCCCATAATGACTGGGCATTCGCCTTGTGAAAGGTCTGAGGTCTCATTGTAATAATGTGGTTTATTGGGGGTGATGCTCTAGTATCTGTGCCCTCAGGGGAGCTACATACACTCAGATCACTCCCAACTGACTGCTCTGATGATGGGCTAGCAGGTGC